TGGAAAACTGCCCGAGAAATGCTAAAAATAGTTGCTTTTTATCAGCCAAAAAGTGATTTATGCCTATTCCCTGCCCAACAAAATGCAATTTCTGCATGAAATGACACTCAAAGGGATTATATCATATAAATATGATCTATATAAAAATGTGCTCCAAATCTCTTTTGTGTTTTCATTTAATCTCCATCATAGAAATTTCATAGAAATGTTCACAGCATTTCAATGCCAGCAAAGGTGGGCCGACCAGATTCTGAGCACATCATTGTAGCATGTAAGTGGAGGACAGATAGAGAATTTAGTCTTGTTGTAAACCTGTCCTATAATGCTACACATACTGGATCAAGGTTGGGTTGGAGGGTCGGCTTGAATCGGGCGTCGGAAAATTTTTCTTATTTTGAAACCCAAAACTTGACACGTTTGCAGAACATAGTGGTGTTGTGATGAGGCTTGTCGATACTGTTAAAATAATGTTGACATGCTTGACCTCTAAAGTTTCTCTTTCAAAGGCATTTTCATTTTTATTTAATACACTAAGGGCTTCGAATAAAGTATTTTAGTGATTCAAGTTGATATAGTGTCTTCTTTCTAGAGTTTTTTTACATCATGTTATGTGACTCCCTCATCAAAAACATACCTGGAGTGTTGCCTCGATTTGTTCTTGCAGGTTTTAGAAAACCTTTAATAGAGGAGCCATGTTGTAACGACTTTTTGAAGCCTGAGATTCAGAAAGACCAGGAGATTTTAAAGAGATAGACGCCCAATTTCAAGGCGTTAAATTACAAAGGTACATTTTCTTTAAATCATCTTTGATATATATAGCACAATGAAGTAACATAGTAACATAGTTATTTGATTGTGCTATGAAATGGTACTCTGTGCCATTTCATAGCACATTTAGTGATTGAAGTGAAGTCACATACTTGAAATATACATTGCATTTTGTACAGTGGGTATGTATTGGGAATAAGGATGTAAAATGCATCCTGCATCAGGATGGGGTGCCTCTTCTCTGTTCTTAATCATCTTGAAATAAAAGTTTAATGCACTAAACATAGAACATGAGAACCACCGGTGATTAAATAATTAAAGAGGGTAAATACTTTAAGTAATTCAGGACTGTCAGTACATCTATTTGTGATTCTTCTCTCATTGTACACTGTGGGAGGACATTTAGAGAGACTGCTGAGGGTTTTTTCAACTGTGTGTGTTTAATTTTCTCATGTGTCACTAAGAGTTTTTGAGTCCATCTAATCAAATTCAAAAAATCTAATTTTATTTGCATAGCACATTTTAGCAGCAAAGCATTTCAAAGTGCTTCACATCATAACAAACATAAAGTCATGCAACATAGAATCAACAATCAAAACATTTCATTAAGTCAAGTGCCATCTTGATTAATCAATTTGTGATTGATTACATTTCAAATACCACTCTAAACAGGTGAGTTTTTAGTCGAGATTTAAAGGAAGTCAGTGTTTCAGCTGTTTTACAGTTTTCTGGAAGTTTGTTCTTGATTTGTGGTGCATATGCAGAGTGTGTGCAAAGCAGTAATCACAGCAACAGGTTGCTACTTTGAAGAAACTACAGTATCAGGAGTATTTTCAGTTGTTTTACACTTTTTTGTTTAGTACATATTCCCACATGTCTTAATTCATAGTTTTGTGCCTTCAATGTGAATCTACAATGTCAATAGTCATAAAAATAAAGGAAACTCATTGAATGAAAAGGTGTGTCCAAACTTTTGGTCTGAACTGTATATACTTTGGTATTTTTCAAATATACTTAAATTGTGTCAGTACATTTTAAGCATACTAAGTATTAAGTGTACTACCTGTAAATATATATGAACTATTCTAAAATTATGCTTGTACCAATTTTGACATTATAAATTTAAACATACTTAATTAATCCTAAGTGAACTTGCAGTATACACATGATAAGTCTGACTTAAACTATGATCAAGTATGTTAAAATTTAACATCGTATATTAATTTTTCACCAGGGTTATCATCACAGCCTGAAGAAGCTTTTCTGTCCAAATGAGCAACAGATTAGGTTTCTCTTCCAATCAGCAAATGTATAATATTACGGCTCAGTGACCTTCTAAGAGTCACATGACCTGTTTTGCTGGTTATGGATGCGACTTTGTGTTCCTCATAATGTGAAGGAACACCACTTCCTCCATGTAATGTTCACTTTGTTCTTTCTTGTCCTTTCTGACTTTCTTTCTTAAATATTTCTCAATGCTGAACATATGTAGAACTGAAAAAAAAAAATCCCAAATTATATGTACCCTTTATATTTTGACATGGACTATTTTGGTAATTAATTGGATAAAATGTTTTGATACGGTGAGTTTATTATTTTAATTTAAAATGAACTGACAGCCGATGGGAAAAGATGTGGACCTGTTCAAAAACTAAAATCAGGAATGAACAAAACGTCTGGATTGCTTTTCACTATATCAATCAGACATAGTGGAGATATCTCCTGTAAAAACACATTTTCAAAATACAGTTTGCCTCTTCAGACACTCTGAGCCCGAGCTGTTAAACGTGAAGAATATTGTTCCATAAGTCAACATAGCCTTTTATCCTCACACACACTTGGTCTTTCTGTCTCGCGTGCCTCTGTATGCCTCTAACCATGGACAGTTCCTGTTTGCCTCTAGGATGTGGACCCTTGTTATCTCTCTGTTTGTGTGAAATGTGAGTGTGTGTGAATCTATTCCATTCCCACAGGGACTGGTGTGCAAGTTTGGCCGTCTCTGCCTCCTATTGTTATGCCAGCTTTGTGCCTTTGAGCAGCTGTGAATGTGTGTTTCTGCCCACGAAAATGCCCATGTGTGTGTCTGTATGTGACCATGCATGTGTGTGCGGTAGTGTGCATTTGTGTGCAGTGATTGTGTGTTGCTTCTCCTTGCCAAGACCTAGCTTCTCTCGGTGCCTGTCCATTGTGTCCAGCACTGTGTTCAGTGGCCCTGGGCATTTGGCCACAGCTGAGAACAATGCAGAATAGACAATAGTCAGACAATGGCACGGATACTCTATGGTCCAATGGGATCAGGCACCTACCTTGTACTTAAAGCATTAGGCGTCTGAGTGCACATGACCATTTTTTCCTCACATACCACGTCTCTAAACCATAATTATCATGCTGTCTTTTACTGCTATGACGCTCATCAGGTGAATGTCTGTGTGGGGGCTAACACTGTAGGATGAGTCTCATGCTGAGTGCCCTCGCTTCCCGTCCAATGACCCCGTCGCCCAGCAGAAGCCAACAGGCAGCCTGACATCCTGTGTCGAAAATCTATTAGTCATTCCTTCTCAGGCGTTCCATTCATCTTGCTGTCTATCTGTGCCATCAGTGGTTTTGGTTCGGATCCAAATCAATCCTGGACTGACACTGACCTGAATCATTCATCTCTCCCCACTGTCTCTTTCTATCTTTATGTGTCTCTAACAGTAGGAGTATGTAGCCAGCTGCCAGCTAGCATCAGTCATCTTGTCAGGGCCTGGCTCGGAGGTGACTGTTGGCTTTGAGGGCAAGACTTTCTCTTCAGCTCTGTCCCTAAGCAGCCTTGATGCTCTGCTGGCATTTAGCTGCGCTGCCACCGGATTTCTGATGCCAAATTTTAGGCTCTGCATGCAGAAGTAGTTCAACGTGTCGAATTTGAGAAAAGTCGTTCCTTGCTTCTCCAATGAGGACATTTGTGATTGTTTAGCAAATAAGGAAACTGTTGACTTTGGCTTTTCTTAGTGTTTTTTTTTCTTTTCAATGTAAAAAGAAACCAACTTGGATCACTTCACTAACCCAGTTCTGGGTCAAATATTGAAGTGGGAGAACTATTACCCCCTCAGAGACAAAACAGACAATCCCTCCTGGGACAAGATTTTCAAATTAATAGCAAAAATTACTTTAATTTCAAAAGAGGACTGACAAAGCGATTTAACTTCTCAATATTTTTTTAGATTACAAAGATGCTTTATCCTATTAACACAGGTTTCTCCTGAGGACTCATAAACGACAGAAACAAAAGTGTGCAAGCATCAAATTTGCAAAAACAAAACACTAATGATTTTATTGCTATTTCAACATGATTTCTATGTAAAGACTGACTTAACAGAATACTGTTTTAGTTTAAGTAATTATTTGCTTGTTTTCTTGCGTAGCCCTCAGTTATTTAAAGAAACCTCCTCTGTCTTTAATCATCTCCTGATGATTAAACACCTCATGTTGTTGAAACTTATAACAATATGGTTAAATTGATTTCTTCAATTAGTTGTTCATGCTAGTTGATGTTTTTTTTTTTTTTTATCCATTTGTATTATACGGAAGAGGATTAGGGCCACTGGAAAAAAAAAAAAATGTCCGAAAATTTTTTTTCAGTGGTTCAGAAAAGGTTAAAAAAGAAGAAAAAAATTTTTTGTGGCCCAGAAAAAAAAAAAAAAAAATTGTGCCGCAGAAAAAAAAAATCTGACAGAAAAAAAAAATTGTGGGCCAGAAAAAAAAAAAAAAAAAAAAAAAAAAAAAAAATCAGTGACAGAAAAAAAAAAAAAATTGTGGGCCAGAAAAAAAAAAATAAAATTTGTGGGCCAGAAAAAAAAAAAAAAAAAAAAAAAAAAATCAGAATTCGGACTGATGGGCGCCAGCAGCAGCCACACAGACGCAGGTTGAGTTACGGCGGACAGCCAATGTTCTGGAGAAAATGTCTGATTTAAGCGACTTTTTACGTGCCAGAGAGTACCAGAAGCGTCCATTGCACTAATGGAAGAACAAAAGGTGAGTAAATCAAATGGGATAGTTCAGTGTCTAAAGCCGAACGGTTATAGCTAGCTGTTAGCATGTTTGTTAGCATACGCGGTTAAAGGAATAAGCTGATTTACAATGTTAAATCACACGGATGAATATAGGATATAACAGCTGTTAATTGCTGGAATTGTCTCTAAAGTGTTTGGGATGTTTATTTTATTGTTCTGTTTGAATGTTTTACAATTAAACTAAGGTTAGCTGTATATGTCAGCCACCTTCTAAATAAGATGTCTGCTGTGTTAAACTGCAACTTTTAGTTCAGTAGAGGACAGAAACTATAGTACAAAGTGACAAACGTTTATAAACACAGCTAATCAATCCAGTCCTTCCTCTTTTTCAGTAAAATAGAGGACTGAACATTTACTGCTGCTATTATTGTCATTCTCCCCAAACAGTAAATGGCTTTAAGCAGAAACGTAAGGATACAATCTTAAATGTAACTTTGACGTTGATTTGCAGACTAAGTAATTGTCCTTTCTCATCTTTTTCTGTGCAGATTGACTGTGATGCCGCAGCAAAGCTGAAAAATCACGGCGATGGATTTGCTGTTTTAAACTTCTACTAAATCAACAAACTGTCCAAGAGGAAAAAAGGCCTTCTGTTTAAGACTGTTCCCTTCTTAAAGTGAAAGAAGCTCGAAAATGTCAGATTTGGATGATATCATTAGGCTTTACTTCAGACTCTCTTTAAATAACAAAGAAATCCTTCAAATTTTAGCGCACAGTCATCATACTATATTAAGTAATCGAACTCTAAAAAGAATTTGCAGAAGACTTGGGCTGTTTCGAAGAAAGAATCAGTCCGACCTTGAAGAAGTGCTAGCCTTTGTCCAACAACAAATAATGACTAATGGACAAATGCAAGGTTATCGGTGGCTACATCTTCGTGCGATTCAACATGGATTTGTGGTGTCACAAGACACTGTGAGACAATTAATCAAATTGTTTGACCCAGAAGGTGTGGAACTGAGACGAGCACGACGGTTGAGAAGACGTCAGTACAATTGCAGAGGACCAAATGCGCTCTGGCATATGGATGGCTACGATAAACTAAAACCTTATGGCATTGCTATCAGTGGCTGTATAGATGGTTTTAGCCGGCATGTTTTATGGATGGAGGCTTATACCACGAACAATGACCCAAAACTGATTGCAAGTTATTTTTTGAAAACCGTTTCATGTGTCAAAGGATGTCCTGAAAGGATACGTGCCGACAGAGGCACAGAAAACATTTGTGTTGAACAAATGCAAATATTTCTGAGGCGAAACCACACAGACAGTTTTGCAGGGGACAAAAGTTTCCTTTACGGAAGAAGTACATCCAACCAGCGCATTGAAGGATGGTGGTCCACCCTCCGTAAACAGAGCGCACAGTTTTGGATGAACTTATTTCAAACCTTTCTGGATGATGGTCACTTTACAGGAGATTTTTTGGATAAAAGCCTTATCCAATTCTGCTTTCTTAATCTTATTCAGGTAAAAAGTATATACTGGTACACTGCAATGTTTTTTTTTTTCAAAAAAGGTATTAAAAGCATATCTTCTGGTATGTTTACTAAAAATAAAAATGGTTTAAATTACTTGGGAATGTGTTCCCCTAAACTCCTTTGGTGTAGTTTTAAAAATAAGTTCTATCCGTAAATTACTAAGTTTTACCATACGTTGGGGAATCATTTTATGTGCAGAATAAAATGTTTTGGAATTGCAATTTTGTTCTTGCTGCTTGGTTTTGATTAGAGGTCACTTTCTATGTATGCTGAGATTAATATATGCCTCATCTTTAGCAAAAGCTACAGTTACAATTTTAGTTTTAAACATGGTTTGTTTTTATGCAGGATGACCTTGATGATGTTGTGAACACATGGAACTCACACAAAATCCGGGCAAGTGGAGGTGCAGTATCGGGCCGACCTGTGGTGATGTACTCATTTCCGAGCTGCACAAAGCTGAGGATAGACTGAAACCTGTTTCTCTGGATGAGGTCACTGTGTGTATGGAAGAGTGTACACCAAAAGGTCCATATCCCTGTGATGAAACAGTCTTTGAACTTTGTTGTCTGCTTATGGTAGAACACAACTTGGAGGCCCAAGAGATCCACTTATTGCTGCTGATTTGTATATAAGGTTAAGAGAAGAAATTCTTCAAAGTATTTAGCAACTTTCAGTGTGCATAAAGATCATTTAAAAAGTGTTGCTATTTATCTCCATCATGCCATTGGATAGTGTTTGCAATGTGATAGGTGCCCTCTAAACAGGGCTCCCTGCTCTACATCTAATTAAAGAATGAAAAGTATGCAAGCAAACAGAACCTTTTTGACGTCATTTTACCAGAACATGAAAGTTTATTGCTGTCATTATTTATTTGTAGAGTTCTGATGACCTGACATTAATGTACAAGCTGTTACTGTTCTGATAAAAATTAAAATTGCAGGTTGTTTGACATGATTTCCTAACCCATAGTTTGTTTCGCTTTCAGTCATTTGAAGGAACAATGCTGATGCAAAGTTATTCAATGATAATCAGTTATGAGCCAAATGTCAGTCCTTTTAAACGGGTATGCATTGTGATTCATATATATCTTTTTGTTTAAAACAAAATGCTGTTCTGTTAAAGATATTGTAAGTGTATGGTTGAGATGTGAACTAAATGGCAGAAGAGCAAAAAGGATGTCATAAATTGAACACATGGAAAACAATTGTCTGTGAAATAAAAATGAACTTCAATGTTTTGTTTACCAAGTCTTTTCATAATACAATTGATGTCAAATATTTAGGAACAGTTGAAAAAAGTCATTTGTTTTTATCACTATCTGAAGTTAGATAAGACAGTGGTCAGACAGGAAAGGGAGCAATAAGAGAGGAAACTGTGATACTAAGGTCATCAGGCCATGACTCGGAACGTCTGATGTCCACATTCAGGACTGCGGTCTCCACACAGGACTTTTGCTTTTCCACCACAGCACCCCAACTGTTGTTTTAAATGTGTTAAAATTAACAAAATTGTATTTGCTAAATTCCAAAAAAACATAACATTTCTTAGTTTTTATAACTATCTTCAAATTCAACAATTTCAATACTTTTGGTTATTAGACCTTTTCAAATAAAAGCCAAGCTTAGCTAACATATTGAAAACCATAACAGAAAAGTATTTGGTAAAGTAACATTTTATTAGCAAAATATAACAAATAACATTTCTTTTGCTAATCCAAAAAAAACATGGTCATTAGAATGACCTAACTTTTAAAACAAACTTTCAGATTGAATATAACCTTGTATACAGCCGTAAATTAGTATAAAACATTAAAGCTTTTGTTATCAAAAACAACATCATCTCAGATGCACAGATGGAATAAGTGCTAATTGATAAAATACACATACAAAAAATCTATCTTGTCGACAGGTGTTAGATCAATACCTTGTTTTTGAACATGACAAAATGGCATTCAAATAACCTCAGCTTTTCCATTGCATTGTTTTTATTTCTAACATTAGGAACAAGTGGTTTTCTTCAAAACATACTGAGAATCACACAGCTTGATTGATGACAGATTAACAGCACATATGCTTAGTGACAATAACATTATAAAATTAAGGAAAATGTAGACGAATGTTTTCTATAACTTTAAATTGTATGTTTGTATTTAACAGCAAATACAAAACACTAACACCTCAATGCTCCTTAACAGATGCGTGGTTTGAAAAACATTTTGCGGACATAAAAAGTTCAAAATAAACTGGCCCGTATTTACAAGTTTCAAGTGTGGACACACTGTACAAGATTTTCAATATAAATCAATTTTTTTGTTGTATTCTACATCTATTGTAGACCCAATTATTAAATAACAAATGAATTTGAAAGTCTTACTTCTTATCTAAGGAAAGCTTAAAAGCAAGTTTTATTTTAATTTTATAGCTCTCTAACAATATTTTTATTGTTTCCATTTAAGGTTTCTATTCAGCAGTTGGAGATCTGAGATCAAGTCAAGATGCTTTTGGATGTAACAAACAGCTATTAATTTGTTTTGTGGCAACTTCTTTGTATGATGTAAAACTAGTGAGAACAAAGGAAACTTGTATATTCTCAGTGAAAAACTGAGCTACCAATAGAAATGGCTAACTTCCATCAATTTCTTTTAAACAACAATAATTTCTCTCTGTTGAAAATACTTTTTCTTTATGTGTCTTTGTAGTTCTGCTGTACTGATTGAACATTTCAAAAGTAATGCATTGCAAGATGAATCAAACAATGTCCATTACCCAGACATTGCTGTCAAGAACTGCATTGAATTCAGATCTAAAATCTGGGAAGTTTTCATAGCTATCTGCTATTTGCAGAGTACTTCCACATGTGTGTCCGACTGGTCTTCTTGTGAACTCTGTCATATCTTGAAATTCCACAAATATGCAGTTTGTCACAATGAGATCAGATCCAGTGCAAAATCTCATAAATTTCTGAAGCTTTATGTCATCCAGCTATCTTATGAATCTTTTGAGATGACTCTGTACTTCCTTTTGCTTTGGAGTTAAATCTAGAGCAAATTTCAGCAGCTGACAGACTTTTTTGGAAGTTGGTTGCAGGTCTGAGAACAGCTTGGTCAGTGCTTCTGGGCTGAGGGACAGATGTGGGTAGATGATCTCCCTCCAGCAGTCAATGACGAACATCGATTTTTGGATGAGCTCTTTGTGAGCTATTTCATCAAGGATTGTAGGGAGACTTTCAGGAGTGATTATTTTTCTACAGCCATAATTGTCAAGAACTTCCACAAGATCATCAAGGTCAACAGCAGAAAAATTCTTAACTGCCTCCCTCAAAACTTCACATTCTTGGCTGCTCACAAACTGTAGAAAATGTGCTTTAAGATCACTGTAAACATTATTGAAAAGCACTTGTTCAAGAAAAGGGATTGCAATTTTATTTGGAAAATACTGACAGTCTTGGTAACCTTTCAAAAGGATTCGTCCAACTGCCTTCCATTTCTCAGCTTGAAAGTCATGGCGGATGAATGGCACTTTCACTGTTGTACCAAGGGTGCATCGCTCATAAAATTCATTCCAGAAGCAAGTGAGTACATCTCTCAGTATTCCTGAGCCAGTGCCTGCTTCTTCGGTGTTGTCTGGAAGTATGCGCGTTACGTTCAGTGTTTTTCTCATAATTTCTTCATCAGAGAAAGCAGTAATAAGGTCATGTAAAGTGTCAGCATTGCGTACAGTGATCATTATTGCATCTTCTGGATTTGCTGGACTGGGGGGAACAACAAAACCCTCATAGATTAATGTGTCATCTGTATCTTCTTCAGCATCAAGAATGGGACCAAAAGTAATTTGGGAATCATCAAAAACTTCTGAACTCTGTTGGACTTCAACAGATGGATGTAATGGATTAAATTCGCTGCTACTGCTTTCCAAAACAAACACAACTTCAGATGCGTCACTGTTATCTTCTTCTGCATCTTTTGGTTTTGTTGCAATGTAGAAGCGCAACATTGACAGTCTCACTGCTTCATACATTTTCCCAATAGTTAGGCTGGTGTCTTCTGTAAGAAGGTTCTGTTTAAAGTCCCAAACCTCAAACTCAAAATCTGTTTCAGGTCCCTTAGGAGATGTTCCATCAGGAAAAAAAAGTGTCTTTCCTTCTTGAAGAATGTCTTTTAATCCAGAATCACTGGCCATTTGAATTTTTCTAGTGCCACCTCCCTGCTTTGCTCTCACCTGTTTGGTAGTTTTTCCATCACTATGTATCCATCCAATCTCAACATTTTTTGTTCCTTTTGGCCTCTTTTTCTGTCTTGTACTTTCATGTGTCATGGTCTCGTGTGGACTTTCCTTTCTGTTCTTCATTTTGTCCCGAAGCTTTTGAAGAAGTCCTTGTTTTCTTTTGGACAATGGCTGTTTGCTTTTGCAGTAGTTGAAAACAGCAATTCTGTCTCCATATGAAGGTAAGAAGTTTTCAAGTGTTGCATCGTCCATGAGACCTACGGCATCACAGTCAATCTGCACAGAAAAAGATGAGAAAGGACAATTACTTAGTCTGCAAATCAACGTCAAAGTTACATTTAAGATTGTATCCTTACGTTTCTGCTTAAAGCAATTTACTGTTTGGGGAGAATGACAATAATAGCAGCAGTAAATGTTCAGTCCTCTATTTTACTAAAAAAGAGGAAGAACTGGATTGATTAGCTGTGTTTATAAACGTTTGTCACTTTGTACTATAGTTTCTGTCCTCTACTGAACTAAAAGTTGCAGTTTAACACAGCAGACATCTTATTTAGAAGGTGGCTGACATATACAGCTAACCTTAGTTTAATTGTAAAACATTCAAACAGAAGAACAATAAAATAAACATCCCAAACACTTTAGAGACAATTCCAGCAATTAACAGCTGTTATATCCTTTATTCATCCGTGTGATTTAACATTGTAAATCAGCTTATTCCTTTAACCGCGTATGCTAACAAACATGCTAACAGCTAGCTATAACCGTTCGGCTTTAGACACTGAACTATCCCATTTGATTTACTCACCTTTTGTTCTTCCATTAGTGCAATGGACGCTTCTGGTACTCTCTGGCACGTAAAAAGTCGCTTAAATCAGACATTTTCTCCAGAACATTGGCTGTCCGCCGTAACTCAACCTGCGTCTGTGTGGCTGCTGCTGGCGCCCATCAGTCCGAATTCTGACTTTTTTTTTTTTTTTTTTTTTTTCTGGCCCACAAATTTTTTATATTTTTTTTTTTTCTGGCCCACAATTTTTTTTTTTTTTTTTTCTGTCACAGAATTTTTTTTTTTTTTTTTTTTTTTTTTTCTGGCCCACAATTTTTTTTTTTTTTCTGTCACAGAATTTTTTTTTTTTTTTTTTTTTTCTGGCCCACAATTTTTTTTTTTTTTCTGTCACAGATTTTTTTTTTTTTTTTTTTTTTTCTGGCACAGATTTTTTTTTTCTGCGGCACAATATTTTTTTTTTTTTT